TATCTAATTAATCTATGAGTTTTGTATCTAATATGTCGTTGACCTATTCAAAATTTTTTAAATTAATGAATCCTAGTAGACATAAAATTGAACTTTGTGTCTAATAGAATTCTAGACTTTCAAATTTTTTTCTGGTGGATTCATGAATTTTAAAAGATGTATAGCTTTTTCAAAATTGAAGATTCAAATATCTGTTAGACATAAAATTGAAAGTTTTAGGACTTATTATAAGCTTCTAAAAGTTCATAGATCTATTAGACAAAAAATTAAAAGTTTTGTTAGACACATTTTAAAGTTCAAAGATTTATTAGATACAAATGTGAGACTTCAAAGACTAAACAGGTAATTTAATCATTTTTTTAAACATTCACTCGGTCATACTTTCTTTTAATAGCTTTGAAAATGAAATTAGAAAACAATTATATATTATTCTAATTCATTTATATCAATTAAGATTTTGAATATCAAGATAGTTTAACAGAGTATCACAACATATCTCTAAAAAAACTCCTATAACATCATTTTCTCATCAGTTAACATTCATCTATGCCATTGAGACACTAATGCGAAAATCCTCCAAAATCACTTTATAAGAAGTCAAAATTTTGACAATAAACAATAATTTAAAAAGTTGAGGCTTGATATTATAATTGGAACATGTGAAATGGGTTGGTTTGGTTCTTAGTCAAGCCATGCCATGATGCCAAATGACTTCCTAAGTGTACTTTCACTAAACAAAGGGCAAAAAGCTATTGAAACTTGAAAAAGGGCANAAAACAGCCAATCTCCTAAAGCCACATGTGCTGCATATTCTTTGTAAAAAAAAAAATTATTAAACTTTAAAAAATGGGTCACTCACCATTGCCACAACCATTATCACAAACCCCATCAACTTTCATAACTTGGAATATTTTTTTCTCTTGAGAGAAAAAAAAAGGGAGAAAGAGAGAAAAAGAGAAGCACTTGGACAATTTTATTAGCAAAAGAACAGAGTACTCTTGTCTGCTTTCATTGACAATTGTCTTGCTGTCTCACTAACTTATAATAATAAAATTTGTTTCAAATCTGATTTCAAGGGATTCATCTTTTGTAATACTTTCCTTTTAGTATTTGTGCCCTCAAATGTTATAAGAGGAGGATAAATTATAGGTTTGGGTTAAGACGTTGAATCGTGTCTTCTTAGCGGATTCGTTGGCCAAACATATGGGTTTCAAGAGTATTCCAAACCGTTTTTCGTCAAGGCTCCTAAAGGTTTCTTAAGGTGTGTTTGAGAGTGATGGTAGAATTAGTGATTTTGAAAAAAGAGATTTAAGTATAATTGATTTTCTAAAATCACTATCCGAGTGATACCTTAAAAATCAATTAAAAATGATTTTAAACTTTGCTAAAATCAATTTTTAATTTGACGAACATGATCGGTAGAAAGAGAAATGATTTTGACAATGATAAGGTGATATTTTTTTATTTTTTTATTTTAGAAGAGACAAAAGTGATTTTGACCATACCAAAATCATTCTCAAACACACAATTAAACTTGCACCCTAAACATAAATTTTCCGAAATATTCTACTTAAACTCCAAACCTTAAATTTTCCAAACTTAAAGTGTCGAACCTTCAAACACTTTCTCAAGGTGGTATCTATTTAGTTCTTGTATTTTAAAAAAGTATATGATATTTTAAATCTGTGTCTATTTTATCTTACCATTTAAAATTTTTCAAATAAGCTAAGTCTCTCAAACTTTCAATTTTACGTCTAATAAAACTATCTTGTTAAACTCCGTCAATTAAACGTTTATTGTGATTGGCTAATTTTATTGTTTAAGGATTACATGGCGAGCTGGCTTTAGGTAGATTCAAGTGTTTTGTGGCCCAAATGAATTAAGTCGATGAAGTTAACGAAAAAAATATATTAGACATAAAATTTATTTTTTGTTTTAAGTAGAAGTACTAAATAGATACATTCCGAAAGGTTTGTCAACTTATTAATAACTTTTTAAAGTGTTTCAACTAAATAGACCCGACACTCAAAATTTAGAAACCAACCTTAACTAGATATTATATTAGCCTATTGAGAATATTTGCCACGGAAATCAATGTTATATAAAATCAAGCTTATGAAACTTAATTAAATTTTGTAATACAAGACGTAATCTTTACCAATCATCAATCCACAAATAAACCTAGGTTTTAAAATTAAGGTTTTTATAATCTATTCATAAACTTAAACTTTCTAACCCATAATTACTAAAATCATGAGCAAAAATCCTTTGAGAAAATTGAACAAATGAGTAATAAATTTACCCTGGATCATGGTTTTAATAAATTTGAGGTTGCTTAATCTAAAAATAGTTGTAAGATACTTGGTAACTTATCTTGTTTGTAGATTTATATTGAATTTATCAGAGAGTACAAATTGTAGATTTCATAAATTTAGAAAAAGAAACTCCTATTTTTTTCAAAAAATAAATTCATATATCAAAAATATATAACATTTATATATCAAGTACATATTTTTTTATACAATAAGTAGGGATGGGAATCGAACTCACAACTTCTTTATCAAAGATATATGTCAATTACTGCTAAGCTATGTTGACTCTGACATCAATTTGGATAACGATTTTAGAAATAAGTGGCTAAATATATTTCTATTAAATCTAATTCATGAACCAAATATATCCTTTAATAAAATTTTGTGTCACGTTCACTTGAACGTATCACATGAACTTTTAATACCATATCATATGTATCAAATTTGGTATCAACTATAAAAGCAAGTGACTTAAGATTTCTATAAAAAAAGAATTATAGTTTGAATAAATATATAGTTTATAGGATGGAAGGAAAAGTGAATGGAAAAAAATAAAATATAGATATAGGGGGAGAGGGGTGATAATGGGAAATAGGGGGGTGGTATTTGACAGATAGAGAAATGATGGGGCATTATTATAATTTAAGTTTGTAGGAAGGAAGGGGTCATAGTGAAACCTCTCTCATACAAATTTATGGTTATATTAGAAGAAATTTAGTGGGTGAAGCGTCATAACGAAGATAAAAACGAATATGTAGGGATGTTCATTCTCATTCATGTACTTTTTACTTTTGTTCATTCTAATTTATCTACTTTTAAAACGTGTGTTTTGATTCTATACTTTTAAAAAGTCATCATTTTTTCCACTATATTTGAAAACTTTTAGCACAATACAAATTCATAACTATATTTCAAAAAATTCAATGAACAAATTGTTGTACTAAAATTTTGACCGGGATAATTAAAAAATGAAAATGAATGAACCAAAATAATCAAGGCTATTATGGGAGAAAAATGGATAGCTACATGTCGACCATCTGAAGGGCATGTTGATTTGGTGATATCAGCTCGAAGAGATGAGCAAAGTTGGCATCACCCTACTATTGCTGCCATCAACACGTAGAAGGCAAACTTCACTGAGCGCAGTCAGCTCCATCACCAAATTGGCCCTCGTCGAAATTGTGGGAGAGAATCTCAACCTCCCTTGCCAATGATTCAGCTTCCAAACATCTATAAGAAAGCTAGGTAATCTGTTATCCAACTTTCTCCGATCAGTACTAATTTTGACATTGGAATGCTCATTTCTATTATACATGTCACCTGTGAAAGGGATAAGCCTTATTGGTTGGACAAGGAACGATGCAAAAAAAAAAAAAATTTAACATAAAAAGAAGAAAGGGAGAATTAAATGCAAATGCAGAAAGGGTGGAAGAATAGTAATAGTGTGTGGGCTTAGAGCAAGCGGCGCAGCGCCATTATTGTAATTTTGGCCATCTTCAATCATCCTTCGTACACACGCGTGCTCCCCATGGGTCTCTCTTATATCCGTCTGTCTTTTATGTTTTACCGTAACCAAACAAACGCCATAAGAATAACACTCAACATTTATACTCCATCTCGATTGTCACCTTATCTCATTATATAACATGACTTCTCTCGAGTTTCGGTTTACGGTTCGACATTGAATTTGTTTGATGGTTAAGCTTTATAATCTTCGATATTGATTTCATCCAACAATGTCTTGAGTCGTGAATCTTCGTTGTGTTTGTCATTGGCGAGTCTATTCTAATAGTTCTTTTGTATTTTTAGGGAAAGAACTTTCTAAATCATGTAATGATTAGGGACATAATAATAGTTTGAATAGAAAAGAAACAATATCGTTAAAACTCAATTATAAAGGAGCCTACCAATTTGCTCGTTTAAATTCTATGCCTTAATCGGTTAAGTCATGTTTGTTGACAATTCTCTCTAAATCATATGCAATTACAATACGATTAACATTAGAAACATTAGGAGCAGTTCAAAATAATTCAAATAAATTGGTATGATCATCACAATTAATCAAATGCTCAACCAATCAAAGAGAAGGAAAAAGAAAAAAAAATTGTTTTTAAAAAAATCACTGCTGCTGCTAATTACACCACCATTTATGCATTTCTTTGAATTTTTTTTCCTCTTCATGTTGAAAGACATTTCATTAATATTATTATTGTTATTATTATCATAATAATTTTCAACTTTTAATTAATTTAAAGGGGGGAGGTGGGTAGTTGAGGCAATCTGAAAAGGCTTTTCATTTACTTCCCATCAAAAGAACAAAAGAAATAGAGAGCACAAAAAAGAGGCCAAAAAATTACAACAAAAAAAAGCTCAATCCTCCATGACTGACCACCTCTCATCTTCTCTCTCTCCCATCAATAAATCTCCTCCTTTTGTTAGAGAAAAA